AGAAACAGAAAGTGACACATTGGAAAAGCGAGTTTAGCACTTCCTCTGTTAAACCTCTGTTACAATCACCCACTGCAGTTGTGATTTTTTACTTTACACTTTACACAACCGCCATTGAAGCGCCGTCAATGAGTGGAAACCTTTTTTGTAAGCTATTGGCGACGATCATTTCAGTGTCCAGAAAGAAGACCTTGAATCAGTGTTGTATAGGGCTGGACAGAGAATTTCTGGTTCCGATTTGGACGATGTCTAGTTATTTAATTTCATTTACGGTTACACTATTAGACTATATTATTGCACTTGCGATTAATTAAATCCGTTATGTAAGAAAAACTTTTTTATTCTCACTTGGTTGGGATTTGCTTTCAAAACGTGATTCGAAATGGTTGCGGTATTTGTAAACAACATTTGTAAACATATCATTGACAGCTAGAAAAAATAATCTTGATCCGAACAGCTGTTCGTTATTTCATAGACGATTATGTGATAAAAATTGAACGAAAATTTGACCAAAATCGCACAAAACTTCATTTTTGAACGTCCGTAATTTTATTTACAAAGTAGTGAGGCTATATTTAAATCACTAAAGACACTTTCGCCAATCCAGTGAATACATTAAAATGACTTGGATCTTGATAGGTACTCTGGTTTTCACGGAGAAGATTGCGTAAAATGCCATCTTGAGTGTTACAGACAAAGGGAAAGACAGACAGACAGACAGAAATAGAGATAAGACTCGTTTCTGCTTCTTTAATGTATAAAACGTAAAAATAACCTTAAAGTATATAATTCTGAGCAAAGTACAGACAAAACTCTAATTTTATTTATATAGATACTCCCTTAGTAGATTTCCCATCCTTATGGAACAGCTGAAGATAGATAAAACATACTCACTCCCTTAGTAGATTTCCCGTCCTTATGGAACAGCTGAAGCCAATTTTATTGTTAGTTCTGTCCGGTTTTCTGTAGATGTCGTGTTTTTGTTTACAATTTGTTCGTTGTTATTTCAGTAATTTAAAACCTCGTTCAGTAAAATAAAACTATCTAATCATAAACAATAACTCGTCCACTAGCTATATATACAACCAAACAATGAGACACAAATAATGAAAAATTAACCCTAAAATAATTTAAACAAATTGTAAACAAAACACAACATCTACAGAAAACCGGACAGAACTAACAAAAAAATTGGCTTCAGCCGTTCCATAAGGATGGGAAATCTACTGTGTTATCTACGGTATATATTTGTTTTGATTTGATTGTTATTATTTTTATAATTTTTAATATAGATACCTTAATCTAATCGTCATAAACAGTGCCCACACTCCGGACAGCTCGCATTTACTACTTCCTTCACTACTTCCTACGTCACGGACCTGTTTACCTCCCTTCCCTTAGCATTATTGGATTGCAAATACCTTAATCTAATGGTCATAAACAGATCCCATACCCCGAAAAGCTCGCCCTTACTACTCTTCCTTCACCACTTCCTACGTCGCGGCCCTGTTTTCTTCCCTTCCAATAGCATTTTAGGATTGCAGATACCTTAATCTTATCGTCATAAACAGTTCCCACAGTCCGGACTGCTTGCCTTTACTACTTCCTTCACTACTTCCTACGTCACGGACCAGTTTCCTTCCCTTCCCATAGCATCATAGGATTGCAAATACCTTAATCTAATGGTCATAAACAGATCCCATACCCCTAACAGCTCGCCTTTACTACTCTTCCTTCACCACTTCCTACGTCGCGGACCTGTTTCCTTCCCTTCCAATAGCACTCTAGGATTGCAGATACCTTAATCTAATCGTCATAAGCAGTTCCCACAGTCCAGACTGCTCGCCTTGACTACTTCCTTCACCCTTCACACTTCCTAGTCGCAGACCCGTTTTAGGAAATTTTAGGAATGAAGATACCTAAATCTAATCGTCATAAAAAGGTTCCACACTTCTGACTGCTTACCTTTACCACTTCCTTTACCACTTCCTACGTCACGGACCTCAAGCTAGTGTTGTCATTTGATTATATTTATGATCCATACCGTTTCTGTTCTAATATCTGTGGAATAATGCTATCAGCTATTTCTTTATCTCTTGCATTCAAAAGTCAACAGCTGATCATATGTCTTTGTTTATGTGTCAAATACTGCTTCCATAAGGATTATTTTGAAACTTTGAGACCCAGTGGGGCGGATTCCTAAGAGAATTTTTTAACGCCATATAGATATGTTGGCACTCCCTGATATGGTGTTTATCACCATGCAAAATTTGAAAACGATTGATTCAGCCGTCTAGGAGGAGTTTGCGTATTACGAAATGCATAAGAGTCGACGTATAAGAGCTTCGCTCGCTCCGCTCAACAATGGAAGAATGTTTAATCTATGGTTTGACAATTGGACTACTTGTATGGCATTGGATATAAAACTTAGCTGTTGAAAATTATATTTTCATTCACTCAACATTCAATAGTCACATGGTCTAAATAATCAACAATTTCACTGTATGTAAACAACATGTTCCGCTACATACATTCATTCAATCTTTTACTCTTTTCGATTATCTTAAGGTGAAATGTATGAACAAAACAACGCGTTTACACTGTGAAAGAAAGTCAAATTGGTCACGATTTTGTAAATTTCTTGCATTTCATCAACACTGCAACGACCATGAATATAACACAAACGATTACAGCAAGTCAGAAGGTCCATAGTGTTAGTATAATGTACCTACCCTTAGTGTTAGTATAGTATAACACATCTACCATAGCCGTAATGGTGTATTGCTACACCTAAACCATAGACAAAGTAAACCGTCAAACATTTGCACAATATCACAAATTATTCATTTAATTAAAAACATAAACATAACTGTAAACAATTCTACTTTGACAGTTCTTATTGCATACCACATCTTTTTTGTTGCTGCTTAGTTCAAATTAGCTGTTGTCATAAATGCAAAATAATTTGCTACACCCTGTTGGTAAACCTTATCTATATATAAAGGCAAAAGTACCCATGAACTTTTGAGAAAACTACAAGTCACACCCCCATAAACCATATACTTAAAATGTTCGTCATGACGAGACACCTTGCTCAAAATTTTCCATTTTTTCATAAATTGTCCTTTAAGGTCTTAGTTGCTTTCCAAAGGGAACTTTCCATATACTTAATGTTAAAAATACCTCAGCTGTTCTTATTTGTATATGTTATTCTTTCAATTATTTATTACCTTATTAAAATCTGGTGTGATTATTTGTTTGTAATGCTGTATTCTGTTTTGTTTATTTCATCTTAACTTAACCAATCAATAGTTTTTTATAATACTTTGAAGTCAAACGGGTTGAAGCCCGTGGGTAACAGCTAGTATATTTTAATGCTATTGCATACCATAGAACCAACTTAAATAGTTGAAACAGCTGACTAAATTCTTTAATTCCTTTTAAATATGAATACTCATAAGGTTAACATGAGGAACGATGGAGCCATTGGGGCCAAGCCCGAAAGGATGTTTGAGAAATGAATATGCCTATCTGTTAATAGAGAATGTGAGCTATCATCATGCCAAATTTCAGCCGAATCCGTCCAGTAGTTAAAACGTGATTGAACTTCAGACAAACAAACAAACACAAAAACGTTTACATTTATAATATTAGTATGATATATCTATGGTACTACCTATGTACACGAAAACATAATTTGTTATGTGTTTGTTTGTGGCTCAATCACGCATTAAATACGGTACTGGCCGGATTTGGTGAAATTTGGCATGATCATACTCATATTTCCTGATAACATATTGGCCTATTCTTATATCAAAAATGGTTCTAGGCTCCTTCCCAGTGGCTCTTGGGATCACCATGATTACATTATGGGCAACGAGGTGGCGTTCGCAGAGGCATCCACAAAATGGAGTGGAGTCATCAAGGGTTCATATTATATTGTTTTTGTCATACTGCAGTAAAAACAGTAGTTTTTAATGCATGCGTTGCGGGTCTAAAGTAGCATGTTTACTCTTTAGGGAGTAAAAATCATTTTTAGCCTCTATGGAGTAAAAATCGGCTGTTCTCAACTCAGTTGTAAATTTATATTGTAAACGATTGCATGTGTCGAAATATGTATCGATTCGTGCTTTGTAATCATTTTAACCTACAGTCTACAGTCTCTTCCCATAGAAATTTAGCATTGCAGATACATTAATCCATTCCCACACTCAAAACTGGTCACCTTTACTACTTCCTTCACCACCCCCTACGTCTTGGACCTGTTTCCCTCTCTTCCCATAGCATTTTAGGATTGCAGATACATTAATGTAATTGCCAAAGACAGTTCCCACACTCTGCACTGCAAGCCTTACTACTTTCTTCACCATTTCCTACGTCGTGGGGCCTGTTTCCTTCCCTTCTCATAGCATTTAAGTATTAGATACATTTATCTAACTGCCCAAACGGTTCCCCCACTCTGCACTGCCAGCCTTTACTACTTCCTTTACCACTTCCTACGTCGTGGGGCCTGTTTCATCCCCTTCTCATAGCATTTTAGGATTAAAGATACATTAATCTAACTGTCACAGACGGTTCTCACACTATGCTCATACTTTACTACTTCCTAATCCACTTCCTACATCGTGGACCTGTTTTCATCAATTTCCATAGCATTTTAGTATTTTAGATACGTTAATCTAATTGCCACAAACATTCCCCACACTCCGCACTGCTAGCATTTACTACGTCTTTCGCCATTTTCTATGTCGTGGGGATGCTTCCATCCCTTCTTATAGCATTTCAGCATTGCAGATACATTAATCTAACTGCTACAAACGGTTTCCAGTTTCCATACACTCCACAATGCTCACCTTACTACCTCCTTCACCTCTTCTTATGTCGCGGACCTGTTTCCCTCTCTTCCCATAGAATTTTAAGATTGTGTAAAATGGTGTTTACAATCTGAGTGACGTCAGCATATGGCGGGAATAGCACACCTATGTATTTTCCTTCCACAATGAAAAGGCATAGCATTTAACAGCTGATATATGATTATAAAACTTCCTTTTGTCTTTTTCCTCATTCAAATAAATAAATAAATAAAAACATCCGTCAGAACCTACATTGAGGTTAGTTCTCCAAACGAAACAAAATGAGTTTTGAAAACACTCACACCACGATGGTTAATTTTGTGGCTGTAATTCCAATCATCGCTATCTTCTCTACTTTTCAAGTGGAAGCTTATGATCTCCTTACCGAGCCGGGCATTTACACTTACGTTGTCGCCATAAAAACACCAGCAGGCGTGTGTACGGGCTCAATAGTGGCTAACGAATGGGTGTTGACTGCCGCGCACTGTTTTTTCCACAATAACGAGAGGATGGAAATGGAAAATATCACTGTATTGGCAGGCATAACAAACTATGAATACCCAAGAGAAGAAACGGGCCAAGTAAAATATGTCTCGGATATACAAATACACCCACGATTCTGGAGCAACCGGCTGTCGAAGTTCGATATCGCTTTGGTTCGAGTCAACGGTTCTTTTGAGTTCAATGAGTACGTCAGTAAAATAAAAGTCGCCGAAGATGGTTGGTCTAACAAGCTAGACTACGATTGCAACTGCATGTCATTCGGATTCGGTGGCTATCCGGACAATGAATCTTCAATGAAGGCCTTAAAGGTAACTTTGATTATATTTTATTTTAAAATATTTGTTTTACCTTTGCTTTTACGTTAGTCAAACGATGTTTTTGACGAATGAGTGAGAAATTAGGTACAAACGAGTTTTCTTTCTCGAATGTGAGGTAATTTTGGGGTAAGTCCGGGCTTGAATATTTATTCAAGATCACTTAATTCATTTTTTATACATGCTTACGTAGAATGGCGTCAATTTTAAATTTTTACTAACTTACAATATAAAAAACATTATAGGCCTAGGTTAATAATTTCACTCCAATATACATGAAAAAACATAGAGATAAGTTTATAACATTACATTAATAAAAAAAACTCATCTTGAGAGTAAAACTGTTTGGATAGCTTTTTCTTAAAAACACTAAAATCTTCTGTGGATTTTAAATCCACCGAAAGAGCATTATAGAATCTAATACATGCATAGGAAGGTTTCTTTTCATATAATATAAGATTGCGGCATAAGCAAATACTCTATTGTTTCTAGTATTATAACTATGGTTTTGACCTACGTTTCTATTTTTCTATTTTTTTTTGATAAAATGGAACTACCATATATTTTGTTGTTGTTTATGTAAAACACTGTCAATGACTAATTATAAATATTTCTATACTGTTTTTTTTTGGAGAAAATAAAATATTCTTATTCTTATTCTTATTCTATTCTATGAGAATTCTTTTTATAAACAAAATAAGTTCAAAAATCTATAGACTACAGTCATGAATCCACAAATCTTGGTGGACTTTAAATCCACTAATAAACACATGAGTACGATAAAGAGGCACTACAACTTTACAGAATTGTTTGAATGTAGTACCTACAGGTAAAATGGAACCTTTAACTCGCGTCATTTTACGACTCAGATATTTTGTTCCAAAGTGAAAAGGTACGGTGATTTTATTCACCCAATACAACACCACTATCTATTTACATTTACATTTTATATACTCTACTGGGAACAGACTCAATAGCCTAAGTTTATATGCATATTTATAAAGGGTCCATAATATATTGCCAGTATGCCTACTAAAAAGGTATTAACAAAATAATGAGATATTATCATCACCAAACGGTTTTTATATACAATCTAAGCTATATTCATTTCAATTACTGCCTTTTACTCTTTTACTAACACATACTGTACCATATTTTATCCAACATCATCGTGCTCTATAACCAACTCACAATACTATATTATAGGATATTCCCACAGCTCAGCTCATCACACCTTCACAAATTCTTTTATTTTTAAATTACTCTTTAATTGCCCTCGTCCAGCTTAAGATATAAAGTACTACTAGTGTACATGTTGCTCGAAATCGAGCAATTGCAAAGAAGTACAGGAGTTATTTATAAACAAATAACTTGTTTAAAAACTAATAATAGTAATAACTTCTGATTATTTTAAAAGAGTCAACTAAAAGATTATTACTAAAGGAAATACTCACAATTTACATCACAGTCCTATTCCAGTTTCAAGGGTTAATTTTTAACAATCAATCTGCCCATGTACGGGAAAAGGTAAGCTTACAATTAAAGTCAACGTAAAAAGGGTGTCAGCTTTTATAAAGTACCGTACCTAAGTTGTTTAGCCAATATGTAGACAATAAGGTGTAGGCTACTTTAAACTCTACACGATAGAGTTAGGCAAAAACTGGCAGAACTCTGAAATGGCGTTATTTATCATAGGCTTACTCATATGCCAAATCCTTAGAATAAAAATGAAATAACTAATAACCGATATCATTTAACACAAACCAACATGCAAAATTACACATTGACTGTTTTACATGTGTTCTTCTTCTCACCATTAATTTTTGCTTCGCAACAGGAAAAATCGGTTTCATAATCATTGAAATAGATTTATAATAAATAATCTATCATAAAGTTTAAGATTAGATAAACCTACCATATATAGTTGTTTTACATGGTGAAAGGAAAATACATTTTTTTGGATCAGCTGTCGGAATTTGTGAAATAGACACTTGACAGTTCTGGTTGTTTACAATAAAATGTCAAAGCAAATGTAAACATTGTGAATTGTCTCATGCTTCCATGGAGACCAATTATTTAATATTTAATTTCTGACAACAGCTGGAGTTTCAAAACAATGTTTGTTTCCCATGTTAATTTTATGGAGAAATACGAAACTTTATAGGGCCCCAGGGCCTCACTCTCTAATTATTTACCTAAAAAGAAAGTTTCCTGCACAACTTCACATTACGCTCTTTCCAATGACACCAAAAACATGTCAATCGGTTCAGTAGTTTCGGAGGAGTAATTGTCACAAAAATCGTGCTTGCGTATTAAATAAGTATAGATGCCTAAACCTCTAAGACTCAAATCCAATCCTTAATAAATGATTGTAATGTGCAATTTTATCAACTCACAAATTAGTCTGTGTATAACCTGTATTGTGTCTGTATAGCTTGTCTAACCTTGATTCTCTCTCTATTTTCAGGTGTGGAACGTCACTGCTGGCTACGGCCCTGAAAACTGTCCGTGTTCCCGGCGGTTCCAGTACCGACGGCTGGTGTGCGCAAAGAGCGCAGACTACGCCAAACTCTGCAAGGGCGACGACGGCGGGCCCCTGGTTTGCGGAAATGTCATCCGCGGAATCGCACACATGGTGCGCAACTGGTACGACTGTGGAGAGAATCCTATGTATCCCATAGATAATTGTGTTGGCAGCCCTGATAGAGGATTGTCTATCTACATTATGCTTTGTCCCTTCAACAACTGGATGCACGACGTAGTTCAGGAGCTACCTCGTATGCCGGCTACTTGCGTGGCGTCCCTCAGGGTTCCATCTTTGATCCTTTGTTTTTTCGTTCTCTTTGTAGTGTTAAAGTAGTTAGTAGGTGTTTTTATCGGTTGATTGTTAGTAAATATGTTTTAATATTGCACACTATTTATTATTGGTTATTTTGGATATTAAATATAACAAAGGGACTACCTATTTAATTTGCGAAAGAATCCTAACTACAGTTATTGATACAGGGGTAGACATCACATCTACATGGCTGAACCATTTTTTTGTCAATATAGTACTTAGTTGAATGAGTCACTCGCCGAACGAGCAGCTTCTTTATTTAGCTGTCAAAATTATAATTCCTCTCTTAATTGTTGATATGAGGATAGTTCATGTGACATAAACTGTAAAAAGGGAAATCTGTCTTTGTCAAAAATATGCTTACAGTATTATTATTTCGTAAGCTTGCGTCCCGCAGGTTGTTCAAAAACATTTTTACCAATTTTTGTTGTTGCTTTTGATGATCTACAAAATATAGTAACATTTTTTCTAGACAGTCAAATATGGTTTAGAGTAGAGGACATACTGTAGACCTTCGAGCCTTGTGTCAAATATTACCAATTACTGCTGATAAAGAGCCCCTAAACTATACAAGGTTTTGTATCTAGAAAAGCAAAAGGACCCTTTAATCAAGGAGAAAAATATCAGTATTGAAGATCAATCTTCTAAAATATACAAAATAATCAATAGACCCTATTTGGCCAAAGCTAGAAATGTTGATAAAATGTGACAAAAGGAAGATGTACTGCGTTGGGTTATTCAATTGATGAACTGAACTAAAAGAGGTAGGTAAATTAAATACTATTGAATCACTCAACGCTTTTAATGTGTAAAATCAAGTATACATACGTGAAACTCTAACGTAATTGGTTGCGGAGTTAGAGCCAAGATGTGCTAATACATACAATGCTGGGCATTCACTAGACATCCAGTAATCACAATTATTTTAGTGAGCTTGATTCTAATACAACAAACATTTTACACAGTATTAAAAACAGTTAATTCATTAAAGTTCATGGTTTTCAAGGTCAAGCGACTGAATCAAACTGGTGTAAGAGTAGGTAGCTTTTAGGATCTGAAACAATAATAAAACACTTTTTAACACACCCACATTTTAAACGATATATTGATACTAATTTGAGTGAATTGTACCATCGAATATTGAATACTGAGGTTAAAGATTTTACTATCGAATAGTTGAATAATAAACCCAAATGTATATAACAATTGACTATTGAATTATTACACAACATATCGGTTTGATAAATTTCTAATTACTAAGATTTATAGCTACCTACCGTTATCTAGGAATTATTATGGACCCGCAACTCTTGTATTTGAAATCAGCCGTTTCGCTGCTGTCAAACGAAATCGTATATTTCATTATTAAAGTTGGCCTAAATTGACTCTTTTCGACACGATGAAGTTGAAACAAGGCTGGAAATTGAGTGTCGGTGAAACAACACTTCTAGACCTTGTAGAAAAAAAAAATTAAAAACACCTCGAAAATCTAAGACATTTTACAAACTTTAGAAATAGGGCGTTTTTTGAAGGTGAAGGAGTGCGATTTTCGAAAAATGCTTTGAGTGTCTTGCAGAAAATTTAATTCCTTATCATGAACATTCTTTCAAATCTTTGCTAGCGCTTGCTGTTTTCAAGCTATAGTCGTAAAAAAATATTTTGTTAAAGTATGTACACGGGTGGTCTGATTCAGCCTGTATACTATTATGCACTTAGGACTGTTTTCGATAGCAATAATAATAATATACGTGGTATGTCAATAATAATATACTTCACAAGGACAGTGGAATTCTGACGGTTGAAAAGGAAATAACAAAGTTTAGTGCAAACTATCTCAAGAAGCTTGAAAATCACCTTAACCACTTGGCTCTAAACCTCATGGACAACAGGACCGCTACACTCAGACCAATGAATACACAAACTATATAGTTTGTGTATTCATTGCTCAGACTGAAAATAACTCATGTGTTAGACCTCAGCTCACGTTTTGTTTAAATACTTTAATTTTCTTATTTTTATTTTTTCATTGAAATATTTTTAAGCTAGATCTGTCAATGGATAGAGACTAACTAACGTTTTATTAATAATTGTTATTGTATTTGCTGAATGTTCAAAAAACTGAACAGAGTGTGAATAAAATTGTGATAAAAAAGGACTGTTTTCTCCGCAAAATCAAATGTGAATATTTTAAACTGAACAATACACAGCTAATATCTTGACAGCTGACTAGACAACTCTAGGAATAATAAGAACTATCAAGACCTGCAACGCATGTAGTTTTAGATGTTGTGTAACGAAATAAATTTAAAATTATAAAAAAATACAGTATGTACCGGTAGACAGATTTTATTAGTGGAAAATGATAATTTGAACTGTTAACAACTCACATTAGCGTAAGTTTCCATTCCGAGAGTGTACATGCCACCAATAGTAAGCCTGAGAGGTTTGGACGCCATGATCTGCATGATGAGCAGTCCTCTTCTCAAACTGTAAGGCTTGTCTGTCCAGTCACAGTTGTACAGCGCCTGCAGAAGTGACTCCGACTGGAATTACGGAATAGGAAAAACAATTATTAATATCATAGACAAATATAATTAAATATAGACAGCAGTGCTGCGGTAACATATGTTCTGTCGTCCACCCCTTGGAGCGGGTCGCCGGAATTTTACCCCCTGGAATTTTACCCCCTGGGCAAAGCTGACGTCAATGACGTAGTAACCTGAGTGGCCAAAAGTTTGTTCGTGGCCGGAATTTTACCCCCGCGGATTTCGAAGTCTAATGAAAATAGTCAGAGCGTGATTAATTCAATTAGCGATAAAAACCGGAATTTTACCCCCTGTCCATATAACTAGTGTTTAGACAACTGAAATGTACGGGCCGGATTTTTACCCCCCGGAATTTTACTTCCTGGCCGATTTTAGAAATTGAATGATTGGTTTTCTTATTTCTGTTTTTAATTAATTGTAAACATTTCATTATTTAGTGGCCTATCTTTATTTATTTATTTTGTAATCTCAACTAAGTCAAACGAATTCGCTGTTTAATTTTGATGTTCGGGATTTGCCTTTGGGGCAAACTGTTGGTTAATAAGTATGTAAATAGGTAATAGGCCATGTTAATAAGTATGAAAACCAATGTATTTAGTTTCAGTTGTACAACAACCTTCTTGTTTCTTCAGGCACAAACCATGTGCTATTTATAGTTTCTAATGATAAAGGTGATAGAAATACATGTTGTGAAATGTAGTTGTAGGCATCCGGTATGCCTACAATGTAACCAATTGTTGTGTTGACTACTGCAAGGAATCTCATCAACAGTACTGGGAAAGGTGAATAAATCATTATGAGTGAACAGTGCTCAGTAAGTTATGTTAATCCCCTCGCGCGTTACTGCGAAATCCCAATGCCCTTTAGTTTAAAGAATCTCTTTTCACAACAGGTCATTCCAGTCATGTAGAGTCTTTTGAGAAACATTCATTTTGTACATAATATGCGTCTCTTATATATATGAATCTCTTTAATAACTTGGCGAGAACAACAATAACCATGTAGTAACACACCAACACCACAGACATGAATGCGTTTTTGCCGTCATGTATTACTCTACTCATTGGGGAGCGTTGGATGTTCACCTATACAAAATGTTGCAGGAGAGGGGGCCGTAGAACGATTGGCACACATTTTTAGCCGATTTGGAATAGCACGACTGGCACAATCATTAGAGGGCACATAATTAGAGGGCACATCATTAGCAGAGTTGACGGGGAATTTTAAACTTCCCGTTTTCTCTGATCGATGGCGTTTACCTGGTCGAGCGGTTGTGCCAATCGTGCCTTTTCCAAGCAGGCGAGTTGACCCTACTTATTACGCTCAAATGATTGTGCCAATACTGCCATGGGCAGAAGATAAAAAATGTGGGCCAATCGTCCCGTTCCCGAAGAGGGGGATAGTGTGAATTATAGGTATTCCTTGGTCCATCGGCCGGTGCCTCGAGGGGTGATGACCCACGGACTAGGGATGGGCTGATGACCCACGGACTAGGGATGGGCTGATGACTCACATAGCCAGGTATACAGTGGTGGCATGTAACACACATCCTAGAGTGGTAGCAAAATTTAAAATATCACTGATGGCAAATCTATATATATATTCGTTGGCAGCGTCGTTAGCCCGTGAATAGCAAAAAGAGGTTGTTCTAAAGAATAGTTTTTGAATAAAAATTGAGTATTTGAAGTCAGGGTTGTATGCCATTTACTTTTGTTATAATCAATGGCATTAAACTTGATCAATGGGAGGGGTTTAAATCATATTGAAACTATCCTCTTATGTTGTTTAGTGATGTTTTATAAGATTATGAGATTTGTTTCTTAATTAACAAAAGGAATCGGGTTTCTTAACCAGGTTGTAAAAGTTTTGTATTTCTGCATTTTCGCTCAATGCGACATTTGGGTAAAACATCTCTATTTTATGCTCAAATGACTGATTTTTGGTTCACGGCAGTACCCTATCGCGAGATATTTTTTCCTGTTGATTCTCAATCTAGGTAGGGTTTAAAGTAAATTTACTTTTCATATCTTAATCATACAGTTTCATATGCGCATCAGTTATTCGCACCAAGTGACCTGAAAATTCCCAAATGAACTATAAAACACTATACTTTTACTGATAAAACGGTGCAATTGGATTTATTTTCTAATTTATTGTCTGTGTTAGGTGTGACATACGGTAGATAATAAGAACCAACTGTTATTCTTCCGCGTTTCTTCCACGAAGCAAATCATAGATATATCGCTTGGTTGTAAATATAAACATATGTAAAAGATTGCAGAAATCAAATATTTTTAAAGAGCTGTTCGGTATTAGTTTATAGCCTAGACGACGTAGTATCTCGGCAGGTTCTCAGTATTACAATTTCGGACAGCTGTTCCAAAAAATATGAACAGTGGTAGTTAGTTAACCGTTTAAACGTCTTTAATCATTATCATTTTATCATTTATCATTTTGAATTGACATAAAACGTGTATGACATAAAAGACTAA